GCAAAATTGCCATATTGGAAATTATCAGGAACACCGTATTGGTATCTGTAATAGTCAGTGAAACACGTCTGCTTTTGTCGGTGGTTATGTATGAACTACTCTTTATTGACAGTGACATTTCTCATGTTGTCGGCAACCAGTGTTGCCACTACACTACATTACTCTCTTCTTTTTAAATTGATTTAATTTAATTTAGTAAAATGAATAAGTTGAAATCGGTAAATGCAATGTAATTTCATTCCGGTGTTACATCTTCTTGAATTGCTTTGGTTGCACAAAATCCTGATAGTAGCTGGGCGTCGAGCGTTTTCGTGACGATGTTCTGGTCGCTGGTCGCAATTGCTGTGTCGATGATGACGGTGATGTTTCAGCTGGCGGCGTTGATTCGATTGCCGATGATGGAGGCTGTAAAGGGATCTCGGAATGCTCGGGAATCTTTTTCACATGCGCTACATTTCGCCGGTATTGTTTTCCTGTGCCGGAATGTACCACGATCACTTCCGAACCCATGCGCTTGGCTACTGTGTGAATAACCGGCTCAAAAGCAGTATCAAGCTTGTTCGACACAATTTGTCTTTTTACTATCACCTCATCTCCTTCTTTGAGATCATTTGCTTGAGCATGACGTTTGCGGTCGGCATATTCTTTTCCTTTCTGTTTCATCTCCGCATCTCGATCTCTCACTTCATTGTCTCCTCTTCCAATATGTTGATCGATCGATGGCAACTTGTCACGAATATTCCGATTGAACATTAATTCTGCTGGTGTTTTCAATGTCGTCGAATGAGGGGTTGACCGATACATTAGTAAGTACTTTTGCAGATCATCTTGCCAATTTCCTTTTTCGCTCTGGCAGATGGATAATCGCTTCAACAACGAACGGTTTTGACGCTCAACCTCCCCATTTTGCTGTGGCCAGTAAGGTGTGGTGCTGATCAAAGTGATATTATTCACCCGGCAATATTGTTTGAATTCCTCGCTTACGAGTTGACGACCATTATCTGCATGTATCGACAGTGGCAATCCAAACCGAGCAAAAATGCGTTCAAGTCGTTTTATGGTCTCACTCGAATCAATTTTCGTCATAATTTCCACCTCTTTGAATCGACTATAGTAGTCAATAACTACAAATATGTAGTGACCTGATGGCAATGGTCCGAGAAAATCGATCGCTAGATGTTGCCACGGTGCCGACGGCAATTCAGTTCTTCTAAGCGGTTCAGGTGCGGATGGTGCGCTAACCAGCAGGCACCCACGGCATTTCTTAACATATTCCTCTGTCTGAATGTCCATTTTCGGCCACCACACTTTTGCTCTCAATCGGCGCTTCATTACAGTCATGCCGGGGTGGCCTTCGTGAGCTAGTTCCAGTGCTTTTCCGCGAAAAATTTGTGGCATAACAATTCGTGTTCCACGCAACAAAATATTACCAGCAAAACATAGCTCTAAACGAAAAAGTTTGAATGCCGATGCCGAATTCGACCATTCTCCCTCATACAACGCCTCTTTGACTGCTTGAATTTCACTGTCATTCATTGATGCCTCAGAAATTTCATCTAGTTTGATTGCTTTCGGTTCGGCGTGTGCCACGATCCATCGAATGTATTGCTCAGTTTCATCGCTATCCCTTATTGCTGGTATGTTCATCTGCCTCAGTAATCGTGATAGTGGATCAGCAATGTTTGTTTTTCCGGGCTTGTATATTACTTTGAATTTATACGACATCAATCGCATCACCCATCGTTCAATTCGTGCGCATGGTTTTGATTTCGGTGCGAACAACGTTTCGAGTGCCTTATGGTCCGTGATTAGTTCAAATTCACGTCCATACAAATAATATGTAAAACGTTCGACGGCCCATACCAAGGCAAGTGCTTCCTTCTCCGTTTGAGCATAGTTAAGCTCCGGCTCGGTCAAGCTACGGCTCGCGTATGCTATGATTCGGTTTTCTCCCTTTTGGATTTGTGTTAAAACCGCACCTAATCCGACTGGGCTAGCATCAGCTACGAGTTGCGTTCGACATTTTATGTTATAATATCCGAGTGTCACAGTGTCGGCCAATCTGTCTTTAAATGCATGGAAAGCTAGTTGTTGTTCTCGGCCCCAAACGAATCGCACTCCTTTCTTTGTGAGCCGGCGCAATGGCTCGCTAATCGTTGCCAAATTCGGGATAAATTTTCCTACATAGTTGACCAATCCAATAAAACTTCGAACCTCTTCCGCGTTCTTAGGTGGTCGGAATTCTTTCACCGCTTTGACTTTATCTTCCTTCGGTTTGATGCCCGATTCTGATAAGATATGGCCATAAAATTCGACTGTTGTGACGCCAAATTTGCATTTGGTTTTATTTAGCGTTATACCGAATTGACGAATGCGATCAAAAACTTTTCTAAGTCGTAAATCATGTAGTTCTTTTGTTGATGCAAAAACCACTATATCGTCGATATAGATCAACACACCCTCACAGCCGCTTAAAATCTGTTCCATCAACTTTTGAAATATTTCCGGTGCACAATTTATGCCGAACATGAGACGGGTGTACCGAAACAGTCCTTTTCTGGTCATGAATGTTGTTATTTCTCGTGACTGTTCGGAAATTTCCACCTAAAACAAATTTACAAACTTTCAGTTAAAAGCGATACTTCTCTTTCTTTCAATTTCCACACAAAATCATAATAAATAGACATTCCGTTTTTCCTTATTATTATTTTTAATTTTCTTTTTTTTTCAAATACTCATAGAAATTCTTCTCTCTTTTCCTCTCTTTACATTAAAATTCCATTTCTTTATTTCTTTCTTCTTCTTCTTTTTTTTTTAAATATCTTTCGAACGCCAAATGTCTATTTTATGTTTTATGATAAACAAAATCAAACGTGACAGGCCGGCAAGGCAATAAAGCAACTAAACCTGATGGTACGCCTGCTTTACATCAAGCTTCGAAAACCATTTGGCCTCACTCAGATGTGGTAGAAAATCGTCCATTGTGGGTAGCGGGTGATTCTCTCGTTCTACCGCTAAATTGGCACGCCGCATGTCAACACAAATACGTACATCATTTTCGCCTTTCGGTGCAACCACCAATGGAGACACCCATTTAGACACGCCATGCACTTGCTCGATAATTCCTTGACCAACCATTTGTTCAATTCGTTCATCCACCAGTTTTTCCAATGCCACCGGTACTCGTCGGTATGGCTGAGCTACAGGCTTTACATTGGCCAGTATTGGAATATCAATCGTCACACCTTTGATTTTTCCAAGTGGCTTCCGGTCAGTTCCGTTCGCATCGATCGCATTGACATTGCTCACATTTTTCGGCTCAACATTGTCTCCGATTTTCAGTATTCCCAGTGCTTTGGCGGTCCGATACCCGAGCAACACCTCTCCAGGCTCATTTGCAACATAAAATTTGGCCAATTTCTCGCTCGTTGCCGTTTTAACAACTGCTTCGATCATTCCGATGAACTTCAATGTGTGTGCACCATAACTTCTGAAATTAATGCCAACTTCATTTTGCCGGTGTGTAGTGACAATATTCTTGGCTTTCCAATCGAGCCACGACGCTTTGTCAACAACGTTTCGCTTCGTACCCGAGTCAACGATTACTTCAACATCGATACCGCCAATTGTCACCCACATTTTGTTGTACTTTTCGCCCGTGGCATCATCATCGGAATCCATCATGAAAATGTCATCATATTCGTTTCCAATGCCCTTTTCATTGAACTTTGATTCGGTCTCAATCACGTGCACATCTTCTGGCTTTACTTTCTTGCTCGATTGTTCATCGTTCGATGCATCACTTTTCCATTTGCCAACAAAACGTTTCTGGCCACCCGATTCACGGCGAAAACAGCACCGAGAGAAATGATCCTTCCGACCACAGTGATGGCATGTTTTTCCTCTTGCCGGACAATTATCATCAGATGCCTTGTGGCCTTTCGTTCCACATCGACCGCACACAATACCAAAATTCGTGCGTTTATTCGGTATCACATTTCGACGGCCCGTGAACTTTCGTTTCGAATTGATATTGCACACACCTTCTTCTTTTTGTTCATCCGCTGCCACCGAATTGGTGTCTGTGAACGTTGCTTCTTTCTCAAACGTTTTCTGTTGTTTAGCGACTACCTCGAAAATTCGTGCCATCTTTACAATCCGTTCCAACTCGTCATCACCACGTTCCAATATTTTGCGTCGCAACACATCCGAATGGCAACCGCTTGTGATTTGATCGCGGATGTTTCCATCGAGCTGATCGCCAAAGTCGCAGCGCTCGGCTTGCTCACGCAACCGCATTATGAACATATCAATTCGTTCGCCTTTGCTTTGTTTCAACGTTCTGAACACATGCCGTTCGTACGAAATGTTCTGTTTCGGTTCGAAAAATTCACATAGCTTAGCCACTGCTTGCTCATATTCATCCTGTGGCTGAGCTTTAACGTAACCCGTAGCCAACGGACCCTTTTGTGCAATCTCAACAGTTTCTTTTTCAGGCAATGAATAATAGACCGATTGAACTTTTGGACCGGCATAGTGCAACATCCAATTCAATTTCTCTTCGGCGTTCTCCATCGAATTTGCTTGTGCAAAAATTTCATAGCCACGCAACCAAATTTTCCAATCACCGCCGCAATTTCCATCAGTCTTGAATTCAAACGGCGGAGGTCCATCTGTCATTCGTGTTCGCTGCATGTCTGAAATACATAAACAAAACATCAGCATAATTCACGACAACATTACATTCGATATTTGGTTCAACAAATTTTTTTTTTTTTTTTTTTTTTTCACTTTGGTTTCACATAATGAATCACCGATGCGACGGTCGCTTGTTCTCAATCAACAAAATCTCATGCAAATGTGTCATCAACGTCTCAGTGTGCTCAGATACAGTGTAACAATGCATCGCATTGTTTACCGCTATCTCTGATATACACGCACACAACATGTTTTCGCGCGTCTGGTGGCGTCGCTCAGTAGAGTCATTATTCCATCTCTTTCGCTCTCGTGGCAAACTGTGCCGATCGTTTGTTCGTTTGTTTTGTCTCTGATTTTCATTCTCTTCTTCTTCTTTTCGATCGCAACGCAATTCCAACCGCTTTCTCTTTTTTTTTTTTAACCCTTTTCCATGTTCATGCCATCAACGCATTATTTCAGTCGCGAATTTCAACATATTTCACAATTCAAGCGACAATTTCAACATATTTCACAGCTCTATCAGTTTTACTTGAACAGACGCTATTTCATTTGTTTATTTCGAAATAAACAATGCACCATCCATCGTGCACTGGCTCCATTTCACAGACGCCCTTTTGTTGTTCCATCGTTCGAACAATCAATTTCAATTTCAACATATTTATCGCTCAGAATTTCGTTCTTCGCCGATATCAACTTATTTATCGCGGAAAATTTCACTTTTACGCCGATTTCCATTTTATACTTACTCCTGTTGTGAATGCGTTGTTATGATTTCTTCTTTTCCTTTTTCGTACGCAGATCCGTTTTGCCTTCGTCGCCAATGTAATAGTCAGTGAAACACGTCTGCTTTTGTCGGTGGTTATGTATG